AACAATGCTTTGAAGTTTGACCTGACTTCGAATTTGTTTTCATACAGATATATAATATATAACTACTCTTTGTTTGCTTTGCTTTGTTTAATCATGTCGATTTAGTGTCGCTTAAGTGTATTTAGTTGCATTTCATGTACTCTTCTATCTAATTGGAATTTAACTTTATAAAACAACAATATAATAGTGCCCAGCTGTTCACACAACGCCCACGTTAAGGTAACAACAATACTCAACAATATTCGTCAGCAAGAAGCCGACAAGTGGCCATATTTAAACGAGATTACAATCGAATAATATCGAAAATACAAAATGGCTTGGACAGGATATCAAAAATTCCTTGCATTGATGATGGTCATCACTGGCTCAATTAATACCCTGAGTACCAAATGGGCGGATAAATTGGAATCCAAAGGTTCTGATGGAGAAATCAGGCCATTCAATCATCCATTCCTTCAAGCAGCTACAATGTTCTTAGGAGAGATATTATGTTTAGTTACATTTAAATTAATATATTTTAAAACAAGGAACACAGGAGGGCATGCATTGACACAAGGCAATCAAAACTTCAACCCATTTATATTGATGCCGGCTGCAATGTTTGATTTGATTGGCACCTCAATAATGTACATAGGGCTTACTCTTACATATGCAAGCAGTTTTCAAATGTTCCGGGGCTCGATTATCCTCTTTGTTGCTGTATTTTCTACAACATTCCTTGATCGTAAGATTGTTTCGAGAGAATGGGCTGGAATAGCAGGTGTACTACTAGGACTGGTTATTGTTGGAGCTACAGATGCGATATACCAGGCCCCGGGGGAGGCTAAAGGTAGGAACAGTGTTATAACAGGAGATATGTTAATCATTGTCGCACAAGTTGTGTCCGCTTGCCAGATGGTGTATGAAGAGAAATATGTTACTGGTTTAAACATACCATCAATGCAAGCTGTGGGATGGGAAGGTATATTTGGTTTTTCAGTTCTTTCCGGACTGTTAGTGATATTTTATTGGATTCCTGCACCAAGCCACTTTGGCAACAATCCTCGGGGGACCGTAGAAGATGCGATTGATGGATTAATTCAAATAGGAAATAACCCTTTACTATTTGTAGCTGTAATAGGAACAATAATATCTATTGCCTTCTTCAACTTTGCGGGTATAAGCGTTACCAAAGAACAATCTGCCACATCTAGAATGGTATTGGACTCCATAAGAACTTTTTTCATCTGGATGGTGTCTCTTGCTGTTTCTTGGCAAGTTTTTCATTGGCAACACCTTGTTGGCTTTTCTATACTGTTATTGGGCATGTTTAAATACAATGGTGTATTGCCAGAGTGCAACCTCTTTCGTAGAAACACTGACAATGTTACACAAGAAGAAGAAAGAGGTGTTGTTAATGCTGAAGCTGATAATCCTCAAGATGTATGAATACTATCCCTTAAATACATTGAATGCTACTTTTTTATGCAAGTAGCATTGAATGTGTTAAAGAAAATACCATTGACGTAATTGTTTACAGTATTCACATTTCAATTATGATACAAATACTTTAAAATTCTTTATTTACTTTTGCTATTGAATAATTTGTATCAGAACTGATGTATTAGTTATATTATTGGCTATAAGTAGTATTTAAGATCTAAATGATATTTTAAATGATCTGGGCTACATCTTTTTAGGTGCAACGGGTCTTTACCCACACATGTTTACTATTTACTGTTTATTCATTTATAATTTTGTTTACATCATAACTAATATTGTTTTATATTATGTGTTTTGTAATATAAACAAATATTGTAGATATTTATAACAAGCTCAAGGAAATGTAAATTAGATATGTATATAAATATATAGGTAATGAATTACTTGTGATACTGACAAACAAGATTAGATATGTTTTGAATTCTTATTTAAATACAATTGATGGGCAATATGTTGTATATTTTCATTAATGGTAACACCAAAAATGGTATTTTCACCTTCCTAAAAGCTTTGATCTCAAGTTAAAAAAAGATCATTCTCTTTATCATGACTAACCTATCCGCCCCAGCTACGCTTGGATGCAAAGATTATATGTCATATCTATATCTGTTACCCTTTGTGTAAAATATGCCCTAAGTTATAGACTCTGAAAATATAGCTTTCTAATAGTGTATTCGGAATCTAATCAATGCAATGAAATTTTCCCCTCTATTATATATTCGACAAAGATTTAGTAAAAGCGTACTACGCAAAACATGTTTTTAACAAAGATTTGTTAGGTCAGCATTATCATTTGAGGTTATTTGGTCTTGCTTAGATTGATTAGAACATCAATATTGAATGTTATTTGGTCTAATGTTGCATTAGTTATTTTCCTGTATGTGGGCAACTATGTAATATGATTGAATGCAGAGATGCGATAGGTATCGAGATACAATACCTAAAAGCATTGAATTCGTCATTTAAATACTTGATAAAAATGTCCCCGATTTTTAACGTTTAAAATACTTAAAATAAAAAAAAATGGAAATTGTAATTTTGATAAAAAGTCGAAACTATTTTTACTTCATAACATATAGGTCTTTCAAATTCCCGCTCTTTTATAAATGTTGACGTGACGTTGTATAGTAACGAATTTTCCAGAGATGGCGCTGTAACTGATAAGTTTAACGAATTCTAAACCTATCTTAACTTAAAACACATAGTTTTAGGTTTATAGGAAAATAAAATTAAGCCTTAAAACAAATACTTCCTTATTACGTTTTTACTTAGTTTTTTTACTTTAATAAGATGGAAATTGTAAAAGTAAATGGCAACCTTGGAAACAACGTTCCAATTTACGCTATTATTTTGCCCTGCCACGTTTTAGCTTAATATGCATTGAAAAGCAATGCAAATAAATTTAATTTTAGACAATAGTAGTAAGTTCTTGGCTTGGCTTACTATTTATGTTAAAATAAAATCCTAATTTCAATAAGTTCTATAAGGAATTTGCGCATGCTCCAATTTAGTGATCGAAATAGTGACAACAAATTTCGTAGAGGGCGCAGCGCGCGCATATCATCTTTCTCATATTTCATCTCTTTCTCGTTCCTTTTGTGACATTTTTGCGGAACGTCCATCGTGTTTCCTTATAAAAATTATTATAAAAAATCACATTAGGGCATGGTCTGTACAGTAAAACCTTTAAAAAACCGTGATATAAAATCTATAATCGTGGTAAACTTTTCTTGTGCCAAGTGCAACTAAACTATCAAGATTCCGCCGATAATTCAAAGCCTACCCAGTGGGTGGCTTAATTTGGTAAGTTTTTCTTTTCATTTATACTATTCTCTATTTTAATACTTTGTGAAACCTTGATTATTGTATAATGATTGTTTAGACGCATGCCAAAAATACAATATGGTGAGATCAGAGATTCACTAAACATACGACAAATATTCTGAAGGTTCATCTGAACTGTGACATTTCCCTAATTGCGTTATTTTAAGTAATATTGCTCAGTGAGATGAACGATTCAATTGCAGTATCACATGGGTTGTTCCAGAATATATATTACAATCTTCCGATAAGAATTGTGACGAAATTTACGTCACAGCCAGATTTCATGAGCCACATACTAACTTTACATAAACAGTTTTAACTGGTTATCACCTGTACACATAAGGCAATACAAAGTCTGCTTAACACAAAATATGATAATATTTTCCTATTTATTTAAGTATTATATACTTATGACCATAAAAATATAACATATGTCCACTTATTAACACTAAACGTTACAATTAAACTATATTTTAAGTATTACATTTATGTTTTATGTTTTTTAATTATGGTATGTTAAAATTATCCACATATAACTTCTTTATTATTATTTTGTGTGTTATTTATTATGTAAGTGTCTGTAATAATGAAATGAAAAAGCGTGAATCTCAAATGTTTTGTACTATTTGTACTTAATTGGAGTAATTCAATGCTAAAATCAATAATTTTAAAAAAAAATATTTATGTTTTGTTTTTGCATGTTTTTCTTGTTTTCTTTTTGTTCAAACACGCTTTTTCATTTCATTATAGGTGTGAAACATTAAGAAATGGACAAGAAACAAGACTCATTCTTTCTTCGTACGAAAAAACCTCAAGGTAATAATAAAAAAGTTGATGAACAGAAAACAAAGCCATTGGAGAGAGAAAAGGACAGTAGACAAAAGAATTTTGATAAAAACCGTCCACTAAAAGATAAAAATAATGAAGTAGAAAAGAAACCTTTTGATAAAAAGGCATATCGTCTAAAGAAATATAGTAAGAAATATAAATTAGAACAATGGGAGGAAAAGAGGAAAAAGAAACTTCTGTATGACTATCATAAAAGTATAAAAAACGATCCCATGCTCGGTTCCTATACTCCGAAATCATTTGACGAAGATACCATTGATTCTAACGAACCAGAAGTTGGTAAATTTGTCAGACATCCAGATCTTATTGAAAAAGCTAAAGTGCAGAAAACAAAAAAAGACCCCTTCAAGAAGGCTAAAGAACATTATGAAAAGTTGAAGTTAGAGAAATTGCAGAAGCAGCAAGAGTTGGAGAAATCCAAACAAGAGAAGGCGCAGAAGTTGCAAGAATATAAGAAGAAGAAACAAGAACGGTTCAAGAAACTTAGCAAGAAGACAAAGAAAGGACAGCCAGTGATGACGGGCAGATTAGAGTTATTATTGGAGAAAATACAGAAATGAAATGAGACATACTTGTAACTGAGTTTAATTCTAATAATAAAATCAAATCATGAATAGCGATGAGTGTTCATTTGTAAGAAATAAAATAATATGGAGTAAAAGATCTATCTCAAAAGGCCTACAATGCAAATAATTAATTCTAAAAGTCTATAATGTTAGTTTGGACCCAATTTAACTCACTTTCATTCCTTATTCAATTACTTTAAATAGTATTTGTCCGCAAGAAATTGTAAAATAATGAAAAACATTGCTCAGTAATAACATAGCTACTGTGTGGTTAAAGATATTTTAAATCTACCAAGTAGTTTTTGAACTTTCAATACATACAAAAATACCAACCTATTATCTCTATAATATTAGTATAGAATGCTTTTGGCCATGGCTGTGCAGTTAAGGTATTGTGTATATTTCCCAGACCTGTGATGCATAGTCTTGTCAATACATCAGTGTAGACAGCTAAATAAAATATATTTTAAATACCATAATTGCTTATGGATTATTTGAAATTCCATGTAAGTCCTGATATTAGTGTCACAAACCTTTTCATGATTTAAAATACACTAGTACACAGTTACATAAAATTTACTAATAACATGTTTACTAGAATATTCTGCCGACTTCATTTCTTGCTCATTTATTTCGGTAATGTACTATTATTTCTTCATGAGTGTACTAAATTACTATTGTGAAGGAAATTTGTAATCACCTTTTGTATGCGGTATTGATTACTTTTACTTTCTCCATTAGAAACAATCTGAAGTGTTTACTGAGTTTCTGTGAGTATGTTCTTTTATTTAAAAAAAACATATAGACGAATTGAGTACCTCCTTCTTTTGGGAAGTCGGTCAAAAAATAGTGTTATTACAGTTAAAGTAAGTGTATTTGTGTATATTGTAATAATGTTGATATTCTTTTAGTTATCTGTACTAATATAATAAAGAGGAAATATGTATGTTTTTGTATGTATTGAAGTAACTCAACTAATGGGCTGATTTCAAAGATTCTTTCACCATTAGAAAGCTAGATTATCAGTAAGATAGGCTATATATTTTTTTATTTTACTAGATGTCGCAGGCAACAGCTAGTGATCAATAAAAAACAAACATCTCACCAAATACTTATGACTGGAAGATTGGTAATAATTGTGGCTTTACATTGCCAAAATATTCATAAAAATGTAATGACATCTCTTTAATTTTCTATGAATAAAAAAGAGACAACTATATGTTTGCAGATGTAATTTGAATACAAAATCAAATATGTTTTAGTCTACATTTTTAAATAGACATACCAAATTGTCGCCTTGTTAATCTATACTAATTTTATAAAGAGGAAACATTTGTATTTTTGAATTTTTGTATGTATTGGAATAACTCAAACTTATTTAAAAAATATCTGAGCAACATAGACTATATTTTTTTTAAATTCAATGCGGGCGAAGTCATAAGCTATAATTTTGTCAACTCAGAATATAAAAGCATATTTGCTTTTATTCCCTTCAAGTATGTATTTAAAAAACTTTCAATTAATTATTTTATTTTTTAAACCCAATTACTCTTCTCAGGAAAGTAAAGAATCATAAGTTTTGGAATGGCCAAATGCCAAGTGACCTCAGTACAGCCAGTGTGACATGCATGTTAACTATGTACAAAACCATTTACTTTTGCATACAAATAATTGTTTATCATATATACTAGCTGTTGCTCGCGACTTCGTCCACATGAAAATTAAAAATATAGTCTATGTTACTCATCTTAGCCTTCTAATGGTGAAAGAATAATTGAATCAACCTAGTAGTTTTTGAGTTATTTCAATACATACAAAAATACAAATCTTTCCTAATTACAATATTAGTACAGATTGCTATTTTTCATTAAAATTATTACTTTCAATGCAAAGTTTGCAACTAGGATTTAGCAACATATAACCTAGATTTGGAAATTACGTTTAAAAATATATAAAATGAACACAAGCTTTCGTCCGCGACTCCGTCAGCGTGGAATTAAAAAAACAAAAATGAGTAGCCTATCTATTCTTCCAGAGTACACAAATTTCAATTGGGCTACAAACTCTAACAAATATCCATCCATCCATCTATACTTTTATATTAGTATGAAGTATGAGGTTACAATGTAATGTAAATATGTGTAAATCTTTATCTATTATCATTCGCGATAATATTTAATTGTAAAAAAAAAATATCTTTTCTGTCAAAAACGTTTTGACCCACGCTATCTTTAGGCGCCATTTTCGATTTGCACTAACCACTTGCGTGATTCATGTTTTTATATTTAAATATTGTATGACCTCTTGTGATAGCAAATCATTTTGATATTCGAAATCTATTTCATCTTTATTGTACTTAAACAATTCGATATTAATATGATGTCTTTGATATAGTAAGTATGTATTCAAATGTCTTGCTGGTTGACCTTGAGCTACGCAGAACCCGCCCCCACACATCTTTCTAAACTCTTTTGTTCTGCATCTATTCGTGCGATATCCCAGCCGCGTAAATATTTGAATAATACTATACCAGAATATATTCTATATCTTAGTTCAGTCTACACGTAACTCAAAATATCGTTTTGAAAGTTGTTTCCTAATTTCTGCTTATAAAGAAATGATAATCAGGAAATCGTTGGCTAACAAAACTGCAAACAAAATTGTTTGAAAAAGATTCAACAAACATTTCAAATATGCGCTAAAATGTACCGCAATACTTTCAAATAATTTGATCCAAACGTAAATGTCGACTGAAAGATAGTTCAATTAGTTTTGGTTATTTATATTCTGTGTAAAAATTCCTATGTAATTATTTTTATACGCAAATCTTTAACTAAACATCGTCTGGCTACTATTTGTGTTGGCTTCAGTACGATATCGTCTATCTATAAAAACATCTCTCTCATTGTCTTTGAAGAAACAGAGATTGTTATAGAGTCATACAGTGCAAACTTACCGTTAATTGTTACATTGCGCACACCTGAAACGAAATAAATAAAAAAAATAAATAAAAACCTCTTTATTGCCATCCAAGAATACTCACAGAGTTGTACAAAATAAAAAAAAAAAACATACATGAAAAAATTGTATCAGATGGCAAAAGGGGGAGCTTAACCGATACTGGTTGAGATCCAGTGTCGAGCTGGTTTTCAGCCACCCCCCTTCCCAAGATGTAAAAGGGAGCTAAACTAACTATTTATAATATTTTTGAAAACTAAACTATCGCACAACTGTTTCGTTTCGCTTTGAATCCTCATCATCTCCCCTACCTTATCCTACTCCCGTAGGATCGGCGCGCCGGGTTTTCGTCCTCCAAATAACTCTATTATCCGTTATCTCAGTCATCACTCCCTTTTTGATCATGTCACCTTTCACGCAATCTATTCATCTCTTTCTAGATCTACCTCTACCGGTGTACCTCCACATTCATAACTAACGTCTTTCTTGTTACATGCGATTCATCCCTTCTCATAACATGCCCATACCACGCTAACCTTTTACTCCTTATTTTTTCTACCACTAGGGCTACTCGCTTTGATTCCTATGAGATTATATAGAGGTGGCCATACTACTCGATTTTTAGTTGTGCAACTAAACAGTTGAGGCTACGAAACAATCGACAATCACACAACAGTTGTGTGATAGATTAGTTTCAGGTGTGGGAACGCTCTTAGTGCGGAATTAAGACATCCGCAGTCTAAAGGTAACTTAGCATTGAATGGGATGAAAAGCAAACGATTAGAGGGTCTATCATGAAAGTTTGCGTAACAATTGTAAGAAGTAGTAATGTTATCGATAAAATTTGTATGAGATTTGATAAAGCCCTTTACCGATTTTTTTCTTTGTGAAACTGGTTGTCATCCCCGTCACAGAATATACACGCAAATAAGTTATATGTTTTATAATAGATTTTACTTACCAAATAATCAGTTTTTTACCTAATGGATAGGTACCTTAATAACCGAGATATCTTATTGTACAAACATTTTGTTTGTAGAAAGCATTTGTATAAGATCTATGAAGATTATGCGCAACAATTGTTTCCAAGAAAATTTATTCTAGACTAGCTGGAACATGCGACTTCATCCGCATAAAATTATAAAAAAAAGTATTGTTCTCATTTGTTAAGTTATCAATTGCAAATGTCAAAATGACATGACATGATGTCAAACCCTGGCAACCTTGCTTCCTTGATGTTGGCAACAACTTATGGTCTCTTTCCCACGTTAAAGTTTTTATCTAAAATATTTACCCCTAAGTTTAACGCCGTGAAAATATGTAGCCTAAAGCGTGACGTAAGTGTAAGGCTTTTTATTAAAAAAAGAGTTATTCGAAAATATGCTGTGATTGCTGACATCTTAGGCAACAAAGAAGTGTATGTTTACGCTTTATTTTATATTAGTATAGATATATCTATTCGTATACAAATTTAATATTTACAACAATCAATAAATATATAAAAAGATAGCTTATATAATCAATTGTACCGGTATTCTTTGTATGTTAATTTACGGTGAAGGAAAAATTGTAGCGACAAGCACATGACTGGGAAGAAATACAAAATATGTGTGAAGTATAGTACAGGCATAGTATTGAATTATCTGTGGTGTGAAGTCAACTCACACTGGGTTAAAATTTAAGTCTCTTTCTATTTACCACCCTTTCCTCATAAGGAGAGGATGGGAAGGGGAAGTGGATTTGACGGTGGAGGAGATGCATAGGAAGGGGAAATATCCTCTTTATGTGCGTCTCCTCCTCCGTCGGATAAGGGTCGGCAACGCAACTGCAATTGCGGATGTCTATGGGCAGCGGTCGCTTCGCCATTTTGGCGGATTCAGGTGGCCACTTGCTAGTTTGCCACCTTATGATATATAAAAAAAAATGTTTGACTATGACCTAGTCACCCATAACTTAGTGTAGTTTCCTAGTAGCTGATGAATGTTTTATGCCTGCGTTTAGTATGTCTTTAAAAGCTTACTGTTTCTTTCAAAATAAAGATGCATCAGTTATCTCGATTTGTCAAAGTTCATCAAAAAAGTACGGATTAGAAACTTTCATCTTTACTCGGAGATCCAGATTAAAGCAAAAACCAGCTAGGTTTTTACTGAATAGTTCGTCTTTTAAAGGTATGCATTTGCACGATTTGAAGTTACAATATGGGACGGGATTTCATACCACTCAAACACTTGTATAAATGAAAAAATACAGACAAATCTAGTACCTCGTTTTAAGGTCAAAAGTAACTAATACGTGATATATACGAATGACCTTAGGATATATGAAATACAGTGTATATTCTGAATTATCGGAAATCTAAATATTGTACGTGACATAGTAAACAAAAATAACCAATACAATAAAGCACGATATTTATTGTTACTTTCTGAACAAAATTGTCATTAACAAAATAACTAATCGTTTACATTTGAAGGTCAAAAGTTCTCTTTCGATTCTTTCCTGGGAAGGGAAAGGAAAGTGGACTTGGTGTATAAATGGCAGGGAAATGTCTTTTTACGTACATCGCCTCCTGTTAATGCAATTAACTTAACTTCTTGCAGTTATCTATGCAGGGATAGCTTCACTATTTCAATGCCAGCTTGCTCTTTTGCCTTCTATACTTGTTTTAGCTGTTCCCGTGCGGCTTCATACGCATGGAATTATGAAATTTTTATCTTATTGTTTACATTTGTCAAATTATCAATAGAAAATGTAAAATAAAATGCCATGACAAATCTTGGCATGTCTTACTTTCTTGATGTTAGCAGCAATTTATGGTCTCTTTCCCACATTAGGGTTTTTATCTAAAATATTTGCCCCTTTAGTTTAATGGCGTGAAAATATTTAGCCTAAAGTGTGACGTAAGTGTAGGGCTTTTTATTAAAGAAATAATTATTCAAAAATATGCTGCAATTGCTGACATCTTAGGCAACAAAGAATTGTGTGTTTACGCTTTATTATAATAGTATAGATAAAGAGGAAAGATTTTTTTACATGTCTAGAAATAATATAATTGTTAAGAAATAGCTCAAAAAATACCCAATTTCAGAAATTCTAAGAAAGCTCCTTTATCACTGTGTGATCATTTTTTATTCCTTTTTTTATTTCCGCGCTGACAAAGTCACGGGCAAAAGTCTAGTAGTAGTCTGATATAAGAAAATATTAATTTCTAATTACATCCTTATCAAAATTTTTATGAGTTGAGGTTATGTTTACAAATGATATAAATTCGCTGAAATTGAACATTTGTGTTCCTTGTGCAATCGTTTAACAAACTAAAAAGATTTCTCTTATCACGTTTTTAAGAATTCTAGTTATCATTTGTTGTGTCTTTAAGATATATTTACAAAAGTGATAATATTCGGAGAATTGTTAAACCGCCGTAGTAACAGTACAGAATTAAACAAATATTTATGCCAGACAATATACTTTTGACGTCACAGAATGCATTTTGAATACAAGCAAAGGACTTAATAAGCATCTAAAGAAGCAAATATATTACATTTAATAAACATAATTAAAGAAATATTTAATTAAGAAAGTTTATTATATTCTTTGTTTAGATTTTTACGGCATGTCCGTCATTTATTGGGTGGTTTGGGAAGCTTCTTGAGGGTGCAAGACGCATCTACCGTGGAATAAACCCCGTATAAGTCTATTCAAATTTTACGGTAGCTCGCAATTTCGCATGGAACTGCGCAAACACTTTATACTATGGATGGGATGTGTGTCCAGAGCTATAATTTTGAACCTTGCTATACATGTCTATTTATCTATCTATCGTCATTACATATAATAAAATGGGAGTGTCTGTAATATGACAAAAAAATCCAGATTTCGGGAAGATGTTTTTCCGTTGTTGATAACGAAAATCGCATTTGAAAAAAAATGTCTGTCTGTCCGCAAGCCGCATTTCTTCCGGGTAATCTCCGAAACGACTGGGTCGATTTTGACCGGACTTTCACTGAAGGGTGGCTGACATTGACGGGCATATTATAGGCTACTTTTTTATATTAACATTGCGTGGAAGTCGCGGACAACAGGTAGTATCTTTATAATGTTAGTATAGATATAAACTAGGTCAACTGTAAGGTTAATCTTAATTGCCTTGATTGACTAAGTATAGTCAATCACTAATTACATTATCCCGCACCCCCTACCGACAGATAGTGGGGTCAGAGGTCATTAAAGGTCAAGCTAGTGTTAACTAAAGTTAACAGTATTCTATGTTCTATAACTGTATCGCAATTCAAATCAAGGCTCGAATGCTTCAAATTAAAATGGCGGATAAATTGAAATAGATTTTTTTCCCCTTTGTGCCGATCAATCGACATTCGCATTGGGCAATGGGATAAAAAAGTCCCATTTTGCCGGTCCAACGGGAAAACCCCAATGAGTAGCTTCAATAGTTTTAGATCAAATTTGGTTTGTCCTAACTATGTCTCGAGAGGGAAATAATAGTTATGTTGTGAAATAATCTTGTTTGCAGTAAAAGACGCAATTCCTCTCAGTTAATAAACGTGTAAGAGTTGTCGCATTATATGTGTTATGTATATATTTACATATAGTTTATCGTTTCTTGGAAACTCATATAAAGCTTTTATCATTTGTTTGTTTTTTGATGTCTGGCACGCGCTATGATATTTACTTACTGTTTAGGGTTGAAAAAATTGATACAGATTCATACAAGTCTGTAAATAGAGGAATCATCACCATCATCATCAGGAGAAAACGGACTTTCATTAGACTCGGTCCTAGTACACCAGTTTCTTCAGTTTTCTAGTATGATATCACTTAGTATGTATTACACTAGCTACATTAATGTACAGTTACGGAAATACGCGGTGGATCTTACAGGAATATTGTCTTGTTCCTTCCGCTAAGATAAACTACTCTTCTTACTAACAACCAATAAGATTAGCCGACCTTTTTTCGTGCAGACTATTTAAAAGCTTCAAATTGGTTATAGTGTATAGAATCGTCATCTCAATGGATAGAAAATAAAGCAAAAAGACCCTAAATTTCGTCACGCGATTTTGAGCTAAACTATTTAACTACGTCGTAGTCTTTGGCTCCAAAAATCAAACAAGAAACTTGAACCGCCGTTTGGATAAAAAAAAGAATTATCAAAATCGGTCCACTAGCGGTGGAGTTATGCGTAACACACAAAAAAAACATACAGACAAATTGAGTACCTCCTTCTTTTGGGAAGTCGGTCTAAAATGTTCAAGCGTATTTTAACTTTTAAGGTTCAACATTGCAACAAGCTTGATGAAAATTCTAAAACGACAATAGCGACAAAGTTAAAATGTCTAAAATTTCCGAGATGATGTGATGGCCAAATGCCAACAGAGTCTTATGCCCTTGAGCTATGTTAAGCTCAAGGGCGCTTCAGACAACACCCCCTCACCTTGAGTCTATATTTCACTTTAAAAGACTATTGACAATTCTATGCTATCTCTCTCTTTCTTTTCGGAGGTAATAGAGATGGCAAGAATTTACAATACAACATTTGGTGTTACGAGTGTGGAAGGGTACACAGGTAGAGGTAGATCTAGAAAGAGATGGATGGATTGCTTGAAAGGTGACATGATCAAAGAGAGTGATGCCTGAGATGACGTATGATAGAGTTTTGTGGAGGAAAAAAAACCTGTTTTGTCGACCCTACCGGAGTAGGATGAGGAGAAAGATGATGAACATTTGGTGTAGTGGATGGTGCCGAAAACAGATTATCTTCTTTCATACGTTTTTGTGGAACTAGACTAGTAGTCAAGTTGATGCCAAGTTGGCTTGTTAACCGAATGTTCCATGAATAATGCATGAATGCACATATGCTATTATAGAATTAAATTGAAATGACTCATAAAATGACGTGTTCCCCGGAAAATTTCAATACTCAATGTTATACAACTCTGCCAATTTAGTTTACGTGTTTTTCAAACTTTAATACGGGCCAAATAATTGATGCGAATTTTCAGCTTGTATAACTTTAGATTATTAACTTTTTCATGTACTAATATTATAAATGCGAAAATTTAAATGAGTGGATGGATGTTAGAGTTTATAACCTACTGCTGAACGGATTTCGATTAAATTAGTATAGATGTAGAGGATAGTCTGGGAGAACACATAGACGCTTTTGTTTTTTTATTCCACGCAAATGGAGTCGCCTACGAAAGTTAGTCTGTACTTAACGATTAGTATCTTTGTATGTATTGAAATAACTCAGAAACTACGAAGCGAATTTCAAAAATTGTTTGACCATTAAAAAGCTACGTTATCAGCGAGTAACATAAGCTAATTTTTTTTTATTTTTACGCGGACGGAATCACGGGTGAAAGCTAATTTATTTTATAGTACAAAAAAGTTCTTTGTTTAGTATGCCAAATATTATTTGATAGTCCTTTTGAATATGTAGAAAATATTCCTCTAGTTATCGCAATACTAATACTATTGGTGTAATCTTCCACATACATTATGATGCTTATTAATTTCCCATAATAAATCAAGCGCGTTCATAAACGACGGACAAACAAGCTTGTCTGACAGTTCGCGCGTGCCACGACAATAGGGTTACCATGATAAGGTTTGTTGGAACTGTCCTATATAACTCAATTAAAATATATATAATTGTTAGCTATTTAGGAATTGTGCTTGATAATAGTTTACTATTTACCAGTTTAGGTTACTATGATAATCAAAAAATTTAAAAACTTCATAACCTCCAATTGTTCTAGTTTTAATACAATTATCGTGTTATTTCATGGCGCTATCTTTTTTTTTAATGTATTTTGTACTTAACATTAATCGTTTTCTTGGCTTTTAACTTTTAAAATCTTTTGAAAAATAAAAATTATGGTGACCCTAATCGTGACGTCACTAAATGCGGTTTGGAGCAGTGGCGTCTGGCGTAGCGCGCGACTTCTGGTTACATCAGCGTGGCCCATCTCTCGTGATATCCAACCCGCAAATCTTCTGATAACGAACTCATTTAAATACACCGCAACGCTTCACTAATTCATCAGTTTCCCGCCATTTGTTAGACGAGTGACAGTCGTTGTTTGTGTTCGGAAACCATCTCAAAATTAAAACAAAATTCTCTTCGGATCAGTCCAGCTGATACGATTTCACGTTGAAGTTTTTAAATAGTATTTTTCATTTAGCAACAACCAGCAGGTTGTTGCTTAAAAGTTAATAAAAGCTTTGAGAATTACGCTATCAAAGGTAACTTTTTTGTTATTTTTTTTACTTTACTGAATTAATAACAATATTATTCAACGTTGTAATAAATAACTTAATATTATTGTACACTATTTAAATAAATAACTATTGAATAAAAAGTTCTTGTGTTCGTAAACTAGCCAGTAAATTTTATATTACATAGTTTTAGTACCGTAGTAACATTGACCTTGACTGAGAGTTAACTCCTGCGCCGGCGCCATGTGACGACACATGAGACGCAAGATGGCCGCTAGACGAAATAATTTAATATTTTATTCAAAAGTAATTTTGATCTTCAGTGTTAAAACGAAATTTTTTCCAATTATTTGTTCGGTGTGTTTTTAGTTAACACCTTGATATCATTTTGCATTTTATTCATGCAACAACTGTTTTGTTTATTTTTTTTATCTACAATTAAATCTTATATTTAACATGTAAAACTTCCTGTTTAATATTTATATATTTTTGTGTTATAAAAATATATAAATCATAAAATTTATTTATAATCATAAATTTTTACATTGGTAATTTTTTTATGTGTAAATTGCAGTGTGTGGCTGTACGATTGAATAGCCTTTGCCTTTTACCATTTAAACGACTCATAAATATTATAACCTATAATAATCAGTACTACTATATGTCGACGATTGGTAATAACATACATTGTACATACATTTCGAAATTACAGCGAATTTATACTTGATTCATTATGAATAGAGACTCAACAGTATAAAGCCCGCTACATACGTTTAGTTTTAACTTTTCAGTTGGAACTCGGCGTGTGTAGCCTGCTTAATAGGTATAAAATCAATCTTTACTTTTCTAAGACTGTCTTTTTTATCAAAATTTAAATATAACATTAAGATGAATTCAATAAAGATTAGATGATATCCGCGAAATGAGATGAATTTATCGCATCCTTATCTAAACGTTATCATTACAGACGGTTGTGTTATTTGACTTAGTGCTCGATTTATAATATTTCCGGACGTGTTGTGCTTTTAAAAAATTGTTAAATATATTTTCGGATTGTATTTTATTGTCTATAAAAGTGATTGTATAGACCGGCTAGACCGGTAAACCGAAATTGCTCAGAATCCAATCGTGATTTAGAGGTATATCATAGTTGCGTCAAAACAGTTTGTTTAGTGCGTACAGCAAAGTATTGAAACAGGCGGCGTGATTACGGTCCAATTGACGTGATACGAGAGTAGATTGAATAGTTGCCTATCGCTAAAAACGAGCTAAATTTATATATTGAAAGAAAAAAAATTGAGCTCGATAGTTTTCTGTTTCTTCTGTATGGTAATGTTAAGAAGAAAATCAGTGGTGTGCTGGATTGGCGCAACACTAGATTATCGGCATATACGTCCCGTCCCTATCTGACAGCTGTCAATGTCATTCATACGTAGTAGAATAAAGCGCCATTCTGACGGGAGCTGGCAGTCTAAGTGTTCAAGTTCATTACTTTTAAACAGTTCTAGTATTTACGTAAATGTAAGGTAGTTGTATATTAATGTATAATTGTGTTGTTACAGGGAGCACCGGCCTTGTCCGGCGCATCTGGCTGTGCCGGGCGACGTGCGCCCGCCTGCCCCCGCCCGCCGCGCTGCTGGCGCCGCGCGCTCAACGTCGACCCGCCCTGGCAGCGAGCACGGGCCCGCTGACGCCACACCACGCGATATACGTACGTCTATACCTCATATATCTCATACTGCACATGTCCTATTCACCCCAACATACTTTACATGGCCTATTCATCCGATCATACCTTACGTGCCCCATTCACCCAAACATACCCTATATGCCCCATTCAACGACCTCATGCCTCAAATCCAAAACCAAATGCCTCATTCCCTCAAATATGCCCTTTATCCCTCACATATCTTGCACAATTTGGCATTTACACTACACAAGATAATGCAATATTCCAGTCGTTTTTATTAAATCTATGAAACGCAGAACAAAAAAAAGGTTTCAAACATCCAGCTTTGCTCGCACTTTTCTTTTGGCATCTTCTTTACCAAATCTATTTACTAAGGCTATAAGTTCAATACATGACATTCCTCGTAATTGTATTGGAATACACAAAACTGACTGACTAATTTCTATTAGCTGACACCTGTGGACTAGCGCTAGTGGGCCCCCACCACCGGCCTCTGTAACGTGACACCGAGCCCCGCGCGCCCGCGCCGAGGGGACATCGCTTGCCTATCTGCCGACCTCGCACATCGAGGTTACGATAGCCAAAGTCTACAAGACAACTAAACTTCGTACTAAGGACACCGAAGCTTATCAAAATACCGAGTAAAATGAAGGTGATTGAAGAGGAACAGCGCGTGCAGGTGATGGAGGGGCAGTGGACCGCTGAATCGGTGATTAAGAGTATCGTGGAAGAAGGGGGGCATGATGAACCCTTCTATGTGATGGACCTGGGCGAGGTGGTCGCCCGGTACCATCATTGGAAGGAGCTCATGCCCAGGGTGGAGCCATTCTACGGTGAGTTACATTTAAAAAAATAAATAAGGTATTATAAGAAAGAGATGGATGGATTGCGTGATTGTGTGACATGATCATGAAGGGAGTGATGACTGAGATGATGGATAGAGTTATTTGGAGGAAGAAAACCCGCAGCTCCCTACGGAAGTAGGATAACGTAGCAAAGAGATTTAAAAATATATATAGAGTAACCATAATTGACACTTCACTTGTTTTTTTATATAATCTCAACAACTATCTACTGCCCAACATCAGATCTCATCTCTTTGATAAACTCAAGGTTGATTGTAGTTGTTCATGTTGTTGATGTTTTAATTTGTTGTTCATTCATCATTCTTGTTGTAATTTGTTGTTCATGTTGTTATTATTGTAATTAGTTGTTGTTTTAATTTGTTGTTCATTGTTGTTGTTGTTGTTGTTGTTGTTGTAATTTGTTGTTCATTGTTGTTGCAGCGGTGAAATGCAACGACGACAAGCTGCTGGTGAGCACGCTGGCCGCGCTCGGGGCGGGCTTCGACTGCGCCTCCAAGGCCGAGATTGAGATGGTCACCGGCCTCGGAGTTAGACCAGAGTGAGTATACACACTTAAAAAAAACATCCAATAACAACTTAATAGAAGTAATTTTTGAATCAGCTTAACAAATTTCTTTAGTGAAAATATTCGGCTAGTAACTTATACTAGCTATCGCCCATGACTCGGTCCGTTTGGAATTAAAAAAATAAAACAAAAGTCAGCCCCTATGTGTTCTTTAGACCTCTACATCTATGCCAAATTTAATCGAGATCCTTTCAGTTGTTTATGCTACAAGCTCTAACAAACATCCATCTAAACTTTCACATTTATAATACTAAAATTATAAATTATTCTATAGTATTTTTTACAGGTTCAATTGTTTAATATGCTATTGTTCCGCAGGCGCATAATATTCGCTAATCCGGCGAAGTTGGCGTCGCACATCCGCTACTCGTCCTCCATGGGCGTGGACCTGATGACCTTCGACTCGGAGACGGAGCTCGTCAAGATCAAGCAGCACATGCCGCATGCGCAGTCAGTATATATATTTAATGTTTGTCTTTATATGTATTTATAATATATTTTTAATGTATATTATATTTAATTAAAGTGCGGTTATTTAAATAATAATTATCTGTTATATTTATTATATTATACAGTGGTTGAGCCCACTTTAACATCTTCGCACGAATGGGTCGGCTCACCCCCAGCAATACCATGACCATACAGAAGACAGGTCAAATGGAAGCAATTCCGTGTTTTTTCATTGTTGTGCCGTGAACCTAATTCTTGTCCCTTTCCATCCTTTTCTTAAGAAGGGAAGGAAAAGTAATTTAAGGGTAGGCAATGCAATTGCGGATGTCTATGGGCAGCGGTCGCTTCGCCATTTTGGCGGATTTAGGTGACCGCTTGTTCGTTTGCCATCTTATTGTATATAAAAAAAATGTAGGCTAGTGGTGCGTATCCGCTGCGACGCGGCGGCGGCGCGCTGCCCGCTCGGCATCAAGTTCGGCTGCGACCCCGTCACCGAGGCGCCGCGTCTGCTCAAGCTCGCCGCAGTCTTCGGACTGAGGGTAATAATAATAATACACATTTAAACAGTTCTAAAACACATTGCAACACAATACAACATAATACACTTGAACAAAAAAAAAACTACAAATGAGAAAAAAGAAAACCAACCATTAACAACTTACTCCTACTTGGTACTTCACATCTTTCCTTTACTCTTTTTGCACAAAACTTACTAAATATATATTTCAAAGTTAAGACAAGAAGCAAGGGTGGCCTTATGAGTAATATCTTACAGGCTACTCATTGAGACAGAAGCTAGACAAAACATAAGGGTTTTTACTACATCTTACTTCTTACTAATATTATAAATATAAAAGTTTAGATGGATAGATGTTTGTTAAAATTTGTAGCATAAACATTTGAACAGGTCTCGATAAAATTTGCCATAGACGTAGAGGATACTCTGCAAGAACACATAGTGTACTCACTTTTGTTTTTCAAATTCTACGCGGAAAGGGTCACGGTAAAAAGCTAGTTCCTTATATAATAAATGCAAAACTTTAGATAGATTTAAGTATTTGAATTTTGAATAATGAAATAAAGTTTTTGTCATGTGGTTGAAGCAGAGAAGAGCTAATCTTACTAATATTATAAATGCGGAAGTTTAGATGGATGTTTGTTAGAGTTTGTAGCCTATACTGCTGAACGGATCTCGATGAAATTTAGCATAGATGTAGAGGATAATCTGAAACACAGGCTACTTATTTTTTAACTCCACAAGAAAGCTAATTTATATATATTTTCGTAGGTTGTGGGCGTGTCCTTCCACGTGGGTTCAGGTGCGGAGGAGTGCGGCGTGTACGCCCGCGCTATTCAGTACTGCCGCGCGCTCTTCACGCTGGGAGCTGCTGCAGGGCATGCTATGCATCTTCTGGACCTTGGAGGAGGCTTCCCTGGACATACCGGCTCTAGTATACGAGAGGTAAAAATAAATACTTTTTTTAGTGCGGTAAAAAACACCGTCTAACATTCTTGAGTGCATCAGCTATCTTTTAGTAAATGTTCTGTTAAAATGGTCCCAGCCGTTTAAGAGATTACGAGGAACAAACCACAGCTTCCGGACAGTCAGATAAAAATGTTGAAATGCGAATTTCGTTATCGACAGTACAAATCTATACACACACTTTGTTGCCTATGATGTCAGCAATTTCAGCATATTTATGAATAACTCTTTTTTTTATTAAGTCCTACACTTACGTCACGCTTTAGGCTATGTATTTTCATGCATTAAACTTAGTGGGTAAATATTTTGGATAAAAACCCTAATGTGGGAAAGAGACCATAAGTTGCTGCCAACATCATTAAGGAAGCAAGGTTGTCATCATGTCATGTCATTTTGACATTTGTTATTGATAATTTGACAATTGTAAACAATAAAATAAAATTTTCTCAATTTCATGTGGATGAAGCCTCACGGGAATAGGAAATGTTTGCTAAAGTTTGTTTTCTAAACAGTTGAACATATAGGTTACTTACTTTTTTTTTAATTTCCACATAGACGGAGTCGCGAATGAAAGTTAGTATAAATATTTGTTTGTGTACAGACGGCTCAGGTGATCAACGCGGCGCTGGACGCGAACTTCTCCGGCTGCGAGGTGCGCGTCATCGCGGAGCCCGGCCGCTACTTCGCCTGCGCCGCCTACACCCTCGCCACCATGGTCTACGCTAAACGAGAGGTGAACTCATTCATTCAACACTCACTCACTCACTATGTCATTCATTTACTCACCTTTGTGACACGCTAAATGAGAGGTAAACTCATCCTCTCGTTTTACACCCACTTTGTCATTCATTTACTCACTCTTATGACGTATTCAGTTACTCTTTGTGAGTCATTTTGTCACAAACTATTTGTGAGTGACTCAGTCACTTACTCTTTGAGGTTAATTTAATTTTTCAGTATATTCAAACAAAATGTGAGCTATGTTCTTACACTCTTTGAATCAGTCATTCATTCTCTAATACAAATTCAATTAATCGTTAGTTCAATTAGTTTGAAGCGGTTATGAGATATATATATATTTGATACATTTTTGTTTTTAAATTAATTTCTCTGCGTTGGTCATTCATTAATTTATATTAAGGGCCTGTCCCACCACTGACTGATAAAAACTCAGATAGCTTATAAATGCCGTCACTGTCAGATAATAAAATCCGATATTTCCATCACATATTATAAACGTTGGATTGTTATCAGATAATTTACAAGACGGTGGGAGAGGCCCTTAATGTTATAATAGGAAAACAATTATATTTTTGTATGTTTTGGAATAACACGAAAACTACTAGATTGATTTCAATAATTCTTTCACCAATAAAGCTACGTTATCACTGAGTTAGATGTATTTTTTTTTAATTCCGCGTGAAGCAACACATTTATTAAATATTTTGTATGTGTTTAGGTGGCCGGTAAGGAGGGGGAGGTAGCGGGCGCGGGCGCGGGCGAGGGCGCGGAGACGCACACCATGTACTTCATGAACGACGGCGTGTACGGCTCCTTCAACTGCCTGCTGTACGACCACCAGGAAGTCACCCCCGTGCCTCTCAACACGGTATCTATATAAAATCTTACTAATATAAATACAAAAGTCTAGATAATAGAACGAATCCCGATGTTTGGGTCATAGTGTTTCCCAACATTTTTTTTGGAGCCATGCCCCGCCTTAATGTTTCTCAATTCTTTGCCCCCATACATATTAAAACATTAAAACGTCCATAGTAATACCTAATAGTTATTTCTAGCATTTTTTGTCTAACTTGATCTCAATATGCATTAAAATAGCCCAGAGTGAAAAGTTTAAAATCTAGTCTATTTTTGAATTGCCCCTTAAGTATCAAATTACACCCCTATAAGCCAAACATTATGAAACACTGGGCTGGATTAACATATGGGCTATTTTTCGTACTAATAGAGATGATTTAAATTGTATTAACATAATTAACATAAACATTCAGAGCTACTGCCTTCCGCCAAAATGGCGCTTTTCTACTAAGTCTGTATGACATTGACAGCTGTCAGATAAGGAAGGGAAGTATATCTAGTGTTGCGCCAATCCAGTGCAATATCGATTTTCTTAATGTTAAAGTTTATATCAAAATAATGGCGACATCTATTACCTGTTTGGCATACTTAATCATGTCTTGTCTTTGTCTATTAAGAAAATAAAACTTAGTCTATGGTCAACCTCAAGCGTATCTCGTTAGGTTATGAGCTCAGTCCTAATATTAAAAATTATTCAGTGCAATAGTTTCCTAAAAAGTGAAATATGTCAGTACAGAGTAGCGATGAAAATGTTTTAATATAATTAATTTCAACAGGCGGAGGGGATTCCCCGCAGCTCTTCCTTCTGGGGCCCGACTTGCGATAGTCTGGACTGCGTGGTGCCGCGCATGCGCATCCCTCCCCTGCCGCTGGGCGCGTGGCTCGTGTTCCGCGACATGGGCGCCTACACCCTGCCAGTGGCCTCCGCCTTCAATGGGTTTCCCGTGCCCAAGGTCCGAGCAGTAGTCGACCGTCGCCTCTGGTCCGTGCTCAAGGAACTCTGGCCCCTCACCGAGAATCACTTCGCGGTGGCACCACCAGTGGCCCCGGCACCAGTGGCTCCTGTGGCACCAGTGGCCCCTGTAGCACCGGAACCACATCGCGCGGTGTTCGTGGAATGCGCTCTCAAGTGAGCGCACGTTCAGAGCTTACAGGCCTATATTTTAAACCTTGTCACTAAAATTTTACCGTTTTTCTCTGATTTTGATAATATTGACATATTCTTATCCTAACATTTGTTAAACTAAATTATGACTAGTTATTGTCAATGTCAAAAGAATATGATCATTTTTGTACTGTAACTGTTGTTTTTTTCTTTTGGCGGCTTTCTATATCAAAGTAGATATTTTACTATAACTAAATTAACGGCGATAGCGCCTCTAACGGGAAAAATATCCTTTTTTGGCTACAGGATACACATGTTCAGTTTTAACTGAAAAATCGATCTGTACAGTTGAAACTGAATATTTGTTACATTTTAGCGGTTACAGTTTTCAGTTTTATCTACAAACTTGAGTTTTAAAGGTAAAGTTCGACGGTTCAGTTAAAACTGAATGTTTAGGGATGAGAATGTGTCAATTCCAAGTCTTTTAAGTTACATCAAAATTCAATTCAACTAAAACAACAGTCGGATTGAAAATGTAACTTTCAATTTCTTTCGTTGTTTCTCCTTATTTTGTACAAGGATGTGCAATATTTATGAGTCGTTATTTTCAAAAATGTTTTATTTTTTTTTATAATTTGAAATGAAGATACAAACCAAGGAGCAAATACAGAAAATAAACTTTTTCTAAATTTAAACTATAAATTAATAACACAATATCATTTGGATTTGCATTTCTAAAAGTCGTACTCGAAACTGTCATGTGCATTGTAAAATTTTATAACGCTGCCGTCATGAATGATGAAGTCAACTATGACGTCATCGTAGATGACTTCATCTAAGATGACGTCATGAAGAGGTTCTCTTTTTTTTGTTTATGCTCTTTGGTTAACCTGTATGTTGTCATAGCAGACTTATCATATCTTTGAAAAACGTCAATAATGTTTTTGGTGTCCTTAATGTTTCGGCCTCAGACTTTGGTTTATTGTCAGCTTTTCGCATATTAATTTTCATTTACGCGATCATTCAATTAATTGCTTATTTCCTTCAACAAGTACTTTTTAAATGCATTTGTTGTTAATTGGCATTTTTGTTACTTTTTTCTTAGCAGATTAGAAACATTCCCTGTATTTTACCCACTATGATGTTATTTTTATGAAATTGTAATGATTTTTCATTGTTTTTTTTTTCTTTCAATAATTAAAATAATTTTCGATGTTTTCTGTCACTAGATGGGTTACGCAAATGATATTGTAGCGAACAGCTTTTTGGAAATAAATGATTAAAATGTAAAAAAAATGTTTTAAATTTTCTGTTCCTTTTTATAGAATGTCCCTTTTCAACTGTAGCGGTGAGTTTCCACAGTTATTTATACATGCATAAAAATATCAAAATTACTCTTTGAACAGAGATCAAGTTACACATATATTGGGACATTTTGCGAGAGTTTAATTTGATACACATTTTCTGGGGCTTCAAGAAAATAAACACATATAATATTTGACATACTTTAATATCACAATATAACATGCAAATCTAGAAACATTTGACAAAATTTATTAAAGAATCCAATGAAACGGTAAGCATGAATCAACATTTTTCAACTTGTATACTCAAAATAACAGAAATTAATACATGAAAAACACAAAAAAAAATAGATGAATAAATAAGCATTTCAGTTTCCGTGGAAAATATTCAGTGGGTTTTATAAAAATGTTAGCGAAAGCAAAATTTGAAAATACATTGGCAAAAAAAAATCTGAGATAATTATATAAAAAGTTACATAACCGTCTGTCAGTAGTATTTTAATACATAAAAATACTCAAATATACACACTCACAAACATACACTTACAAATTACATACAAAATAGTTAATATAACGATAAGAAAGATTTAGACAATTCCTTTCATACAAACTTCATACAAATTTATATACAGCATTCATACATTCATACATACATTTAAATCCATAACAAAACACTAACAAGTACATCATTTTGACATTTTCGCTTTCATGAGCAGGGTTTAAATTGTTTTTTTCACAAACATATTTAAAAATTAAAACTTATTACTTCATATCTTACATAAATAAGTTTATATTGAAATTTAAATTTTATTTAATATACGATTATTATTTTTAATATATAAGTGAACTTAGTAAACAGATATATTTAATGGGTTATTACTTTTTCATCATATTAAACAGTTATAAAACACATCGTATATATTCACAAATGGTATATACTAGTTGTCACTCCAGGGTGTAAGGCAACTATGCCATTATATGGTTAGTTGTGGTGATTGTGAGTTATGGTAAATTACATTGAGTTACGCTCAGTATATGTTGAGTTATAGTAAATTATGGTGAGTAATTCGCAGTATGTGGTGAGTTATGGTGTATGATAGTGAATTAGTTTAAGTATAGTGTGATTTATGATACAGTCGCGGAAATCCGCGGTGTTCCACTTCAATAATTACCTTGTTCATTGCAACAATAAATATAATAGATAACAATAAATAAAAACTAACCGTCTATCTATAGTCGACGTTTTTTCGTACAGATACATTTATAAGCTGCGTTGTATTGGTTTTTGTTTCGCGTCTTGTTTGAAAATGTTCAAACGGTTGTAGCTTTTAAGGTGGAATACCGACAGTCGAATGTACATGCTGAGTATGTGTTAATTTATTAGTTATTGGTTATTCTCAGTATATGGTGCATGATGGTAAATGATGTTTAGTTTATGGTGAGTTATGGTACATGATGGTGATGGAGAGAAATGATGCATGTTTGTGAGTTATGTTTATTATATGGTGAATAATGGTACATTATGGTGAGTAATGGTTTATGATGGTGAGTTATGGTGTATTATGGTGAATGTTCAGCATATATGCACGCCGTATGTATTGAGGTACAGCTGCAGCGCGTGTCTGTGCGGCGGGTCGAGCGCGGCGAGGCGCGCGGGCACCACGTCCGGCCACTGGCGGCACATGTTGCCTAGACTCTCCGCCAGGTAGCGCTTCGGGTCATCGATACCTGAATTTAAAAAATTATATCTTTTAGTAACGTATATTAAGTTGTTTATTTTGTTAGTAGTAGAAACTTGAAAGTCTGTCCAAAGGCTTCGTTTGTTATGGGTTTATAAAGCCCGCTACATAATCTCTATTTTAACTGAACAGTCGAACAATTTAAAATGTGTGAATGTAGGCAAAAAATTGAAAGAACAATTCAAATTTCGTCTAAACAAGCACATTTTTAACTGAATTCGGCACATAGAACTATAAAACTGCTAGAACTGAGGGTTTGTAGCAGGCTTTACTACTCGATGGAATTTGCCAGGACTCTCACTGGAAAGAAAGTGAAAGTGAAAGTGAGGTGAAAGAATATTCTAGAATATTATAGGCGTCTTTTAAATTCCGTACTGACGAAGTCAGACTGCTGAAAGTTTTAATGGATGTTTGTTTGACGGTATCTCCAAAACTGTTTAACGGATTGCAATAAAATTTAGCATAGATGTAGGACATAGTAAGGCAGAATAGAGGTATGCGGACAAAATCTCGGCAAA